ACTCTTCCCTGACACTGACCTTTATCTTCTCTGGGAGAAATCTGCCCACTAAGGAGGAACTGGTTGGAATTTAAGAGGAGCATGCCCTTGGCACGCTGCCTAGTGAGGACTAGGCTCTCAACAAATACTAACTTGTACTAAATGGAAAGTGTTTGATCTATCTTTTGAAGAAGTTGTGTTAAAACAATCTATTCTAACCCTGGAACTAACTACAAGAGAGGTCTGAATTCAGACTTGTGACATGTGGCAACTGTCTAAGAGAACAGATTCACTTCATAAGCCTCTTACTGGCCCATCATTTCTATACTGAGGGAAGACCATCTTTTTTTTTTTTTTTTTTTTTTTTTTTTTTTTCCCCTGAGGCGGAGTTTCGCTCTTGTTACCCAGGCTGGAGTGCAATGGCGCGATCTCGGCTCATCGCAACCTCCGCTTCCTGGGTTCAGGCAAGTCTCCTGCCTCAGCCTCCTGAGTAGCTGGGATTACAGGCACACGCCACCATGCCCAGCTGATTTTTTTGTATTTTTAGTAGAGACGGGGTTTCACCATGTTGACCAGGATGGGAAGACCATCATTTCTAAAAAGGGAGGCAGGAGTTACATTACAGTTCTTGTTTTTGATCAAGAAGACGTGAACAACAAGGCTCGATGGCTCACACCTGTAATCTCGGCACTTTGGGAGGCTGAGGTGGGGGATCATGAGGTCAGAAGTTCAAGGCCAGCCTGACCAACATGGTGAAACCCCGTCTCTACTAAAAATACAAAAATTAGCCAGGCGTGGTGGTGGGCGCTTGAAATCCTAGCTACTCTGGAGGCTGAGGCAGAGAATTGCTTGAACCCAGGAGGTAGAGGTTGCAGTGAGCCAAGATTCAGCTACTGCACTCCAGCCTGGGCAATAGAACAAGACTCCATCTAAAAAAAAAAAAGGTGTGACTTTCTCTTCTATCAGTTTAATAACACATTTTCAAATGCTAATTTTGGAAAATATCTTAGCCGTATTTTTTATCTTGTAAGTAGTTACCAGGGAGTGAGGAGAAACCATTAATTAAACAATAAGAAAAACTCTATGTTTAAACCTCATTTACATGAATACATTTATTCAAGGCTAAAAAACCATTTGGGCCAGGCATGATGGCTCCATGCCTATAATCCCAGCACTTTAAGAGATGAAGGTCGAAGGATCACTCAAGCCCAAAAACGTAAGACCAGTCTGGGCAGCATTGTAGACCCAGAGTCTACAAAAAAAAAATTTTTTTTAATTGGGTGTGGTGGCACAGGCCTATAGTCCCAGCTACTCGAGAGGCTGAGGAAGGAGAATCGTTTGAGCCCTGGAGGTGGAGGCTGCAGTGAGCTATGATCACACCACTGCACTCTAGCCTGGGTGACAGAGACCCTGTCTCGAAAAATAAACAAATAGTTAAATTAAAAACTCATTTGAAGGCTCATCCAATTAAGGAAACCTGGAAAGTAATCATACAAAAATGATTAAGAAAGCATTCCTCCACAGACTTATCCAACAAAATAATGAAAAAAGGCCATGTCAGTATCCAGGTATTTTCTGTCTCTGTATAATCCTGATAATTATGTTAATTGGAATACTGCATCAGGAAATGCTAATTGGGCATACAAATGAACAGGAACACACAGAAGAGCTAATGAAATGAACTGAGGAATGGTAGGATTGCTTCAGAGAGGAAAATGTCAAGCAAATCAATAAACAGAACTGAATAACTGGAAACTTATCTTGGGCAACAGAAAAAGTTCTTCAAATACCACAAGTATGGTTTACTCATCATTGCATATGAGTTCATTACCAAGAGTGAATGTTAAAAGGAGGAATAAACGGTTAGTACAGTATATCAAACATTTTTCATGAGATTTAGCCTCCTATCAAGATAAATTGGGTGGTGCCACAGATGAAAACATTAGGTATAAGCAAATGAAATCATTACATTTCTAAATGCAATGCATTAATTCCAGGACCATCCGAATACAAGTCAACTTTTTCTAACCAACCTCAGCAAAGTAGGCTAAGGATATTACAGAGCAGGAGCCAGATAATTTGGCAGATGCTAATATATACAATTATAAAAAGATAACGAGGACAAGAAAACACAGGCCTCCGGATAAAAATGGGCCTTTACTAGGAGAGCGGGGAAAGCCATCTTGCTTTTTCTAAGTACTTATTTCTGTAAATACCAGCTTGATGGTAAATGATATAATCTATGGGGGACTAATTCCAGGACCTCTCTTTCCACCCCTAAAATCTGAGGATGCTCAAGTCCCTCTTATAAAATGGCATAGTATTTGCATATAACCTATGCATACCTGTATACTTTAAATCATCTCTAGATTGCTTATAATACCTAATATAATACCTACACATCACTTTATTCGCATGGATTCAAGGTAGTACTTGAATGTGGCAAATTCAAGTTTTGCTTTTTGGAACTCTGCAGAATTTTTTTCTCCCGTGAATATTTTTTACCTGAGTTTGGTGCGTCAGATGCAGAGCCTATGGATAAGATGGCTGACTGTAACGTAGTAAATTTTTATTCCCAAGTATCTCATTTAGTGTTCCCAGGTATCTCATACATTTAATGTTAAAAATAAAATTATTCAGGCCAGGTATGGTGGCTCATACCTATAATCCCAGCACTTTGGGAGGCCAAACCAGATGGATCACTTGAAGTCAGAAGTTCAAGACCAGCCTGGCCAACATGGTGAAACCCCATCTCTACTGGAAAAGAAAAAAAAAAGTAGCCGGTGTGGTGGTGCGTGCCTGTAATCCCAGCTACTACGGAAGCTGAGGCAGGAGAATCACTTGAACCTGGGAGGCAGAGGTTGCAGTGAGCCAAGATCACACCACTGCACTCCAACCTGGGCAACAGAATGAGATTTGGTCTCAAAAATAAATAAATAAATAAATTCATTCTCGGCATAAATGTTATAATAAATTGCAGTTAAATTATTTTAACAAAAGTGCTTTGGAGTGTGCATCATCAAGAAGAAACTAAAAGTTGTCTTGAGGTCTACAACTGTCATTTCCCTCTGTGTAATACTGCTCTACATTCATGAAACCCTGTTTTATGTTTTTTTGTTTGATGTTTGCCCAAGAGCTTGTCTTAGAGCTAAATTTTTTTTTTTTTTTTTTTTTTTTTTTGAGACGGAGTTTCACTCATGTTACCCAGGCTGGAGTGCAATGGCACGATCTCGGCTCACCGCAACCTCCGCCTCCTGGGTTCAGGCAATTCTCCTGCCTCAGCCTCCTGAGTAGCTGGGATTACAGGCACGCACCACCATGCCCAGCTAATTTTTTGTATTTTTAGTAGAGACGGGGTTTCACCATGTTGACCAGGATGGTCTCGATCTCTTGACCTCGTGATCCACCCGCCTCGGCCTCCCAAAGTGCTGGGATTACAGGCTTGAGCCACTGCGCCCGGCTAGAGCTAAATTTTTTAACACTTCTCATGTATCACTTAAATAACAATTGTACCAAAGTTCGTTTTCATTACTGAACTCAAAAACTCCATTTTATATTTATCTGCCCATAAAAAATATTCTGTTGTATCTGAAATTTTTTAAAGTGTAGATTTTAAAGTGCCCTATCGCATAATATGAACATAGGAAGAGAATGCCACGTTAAAAATTAGCAAAGTAATTGTTCCTGCACGGAATGCATTCTTCAATTTGGGCAGTTCTCCCAGAATAAAGTAAACAGCTAAAGGAAAGCAACTAGCACTCTTACTAGAACAGCAGCAAGGCATTTTCTTTTTAGTTTGTTTTCACTGATTGGTCTATCAGGATACTTGAATACTGTCTCTCTATGCTGGTGTCTAAAACCCTCAAAGGAGAATACAATTGCAGGATAGCCGAAGAGTGTCCAGGAAGAGGATGAGACAAGAAAGGAAACAGATGGTCTCTGCTCCGTGAGCCTGGAAGCTGTGGAAAGCAAACTCGATTGGACCCTCCAAACCCTATTTCAGATCAATCCATAAGGTTCAGCTGAGTTCGGCCTCCAGGCCCGAGAAAGCCAAAGCCAGCAACCCAAGGGCTGGTCGGCTGCTCCCTCGCCAGGGTCGCCCCATAGCGAGATCACGCCTGTCCCACCCCTGCCCCCCAAAACCAAACAGATCCCAAGCCCAAGCGAGGCTTGCTCGTTTCTTTTGTCTTGCTCAACGCTGACCACTTTTTTCCGGAGAAGGCTAACGGTTAAGGGAGCCCAGGGAGCTCCCTGCGACCCTGCCAGGTGCTCCCGGAACCCCCGTCCCCATTAGAGGAATGAGGAGACCACCGAGCAGGGCAAGGCAGGAAGGCAGGGACCGCCGGCCTAGGGCAGCCAGGGACGGAGGGGGCGCCCGCGCAGAGCCAGGCCCGAGGCCCGGGGCGCCTCCACGACCCGGCGGCCACCCAGAGCGCCCGCTTGGGGCCTCACCCCACCCGGGGGCCAGGGCCGCCGAGGGACGGGCCGAGGCCGCCCGGCTGTTTCCGAGACCGGCGGGGAGCGTAGGCCGCCGCCATCCACGGCCTGCCGTGCGCCCGCAGCCCGCGGCCTTACCGCCTCCACGGCGTGCTGCAGGATGGAGGTGAACTTGGAGAACATCCTGTCCCGGGACTGCAGCAGCTTCTCCCGGGACGACCTGGAGAGCTCCTCGATCCGCCGCCGCCGCCCCTGCTGCGGCTGCCGGGGCCGCTCCAGAGTGAAGGCCGGTGCGAGGCGGGGAGGACGAGCTGAGGACCGAGACAGGGCCCGGCCCTGCCGCTTCAGGTGTGCGCGGGCGGCCGGGCGGCTCCGGAGGGCGCCGGGACGCGGCGGGCGGCGAGGAGGGCGTTCAGCGCGGACTCGAGGCCCCGGGAAGCTCCGGCGGCGGCTCGGGTTGGGACACGGTGGCAGCCCGGCTCGGGTTCCTTCCGCCCGCTCTGCCCGCCGCGGCCGGCAGGGGGCGCCGCCGCGGCCCGGGGAGGCCCGGCCAGGCCTGCCCTGCGGCGAGGCAGCCAGACGCCGCGGGGGCGGGGGGCGCGCGGAGGCCTCGGTTTCGCCCGGGGCAGGAGGCGGCCTGGGGGCAGCCACCGCCCTCCCCTGGCTTTCTCTGGGAGAGGGTGCCTGGGACACCGCTTTCTGACATTTTTACAGCTCAGAGGTTCTTAAGAGTTTTGTTTCTCCAGTGGAAGTTAACAGGCTGACTTTGTAGGGACACGCAGCCGCCCATATATGCGTGTAGTAAGGACCGATTTGGAAGACTCGTAAGAAAACACAGCGTTCCTTAAGCAAACACGGGCGATGGATTTAAATGCTCGGAATTAGAACAAATCAACGACTGCAGGTGAAATGGCTTTGCTAACCGTAAAATATATTATTATTCAACATGAAAACAGGAAGTCCCCCGTGAGCACATGGTAAGACGGTTGGCTCAGTTTAACCCATTCTAATATTTATTTATATATATTTATAATATATAAATGTATTTTTGACTTGGTGGATAGGTGTAGTGATTCAGTACAGCATTTTCTATCATTTATCAGATGATACCGGAAAACATTAATGAGGGAAAGAATCTGAAAGAAATCTACTGAATTCCTAAGGCAGATCAATAGAGGTACAAGGTGCACTTGGGTGGAGGCTGCTTAAAATAATACCCAACAGTGTATTAGTCAAGCCTTGAAGAAGCAATTCAGGCTGGTAAAGTTTAGGTTGAGTTAATACAAATTATGAAAATATTTGTATCCTGAAGAAATTTGTTTTATGCTGGTATTGTCGTTTTGCCAAAAGGATCATTAAGATGAGGTGGGGAGTGCATTTTGCACAACCAATGATGAAAATAGAGATCTGGGCTGGGCGCGTTGGCTCACGCCTGTAATCCCAGCACTTTGGGAGGCCGAGGCGGGCGAATCACTTGAGGCCAGGAGCTCGAAACCAGCCTGGTCAACATGATGAAACCCCCATCTCTACTAAAAATACAAAAAAAAAAAAAAATTAGCCAGGGTGGTGGTGCATGCTTGTAATCCCAGCTGCTTGGGAGGCTGAGACAGGAGAATCCTTGAATCCAGGAGGCGGAGGTTGCAGTGAGACGATGTTGTGCCATTGTGCTCCAGCCTGGGTGACAAAAGCAAAACTCCATCTCAAAAAAAAAAAACAAAAACAAACATACACACACACACACACATATATATGTACACATACTTATATGTATATATACATATATACACACACATATATATGTATGTGTATGTATACACATATGTACACTTATACACACTCATATAGATATATAGATGTGTGTGTGTGTGTGTGTGTGTGTGTGTATGTATACATATGATATATCTGTAATTGATTTGTGGGACAGAATAAAGGTAGAAAATGTAGCTGCCATATGGAGTGGTAGTAACTGGCCAGGCTCTGGGCCTGGGTAGCCTAAGTCCTGGCTCTGCCACCCACAGTGGAAAGTTATTTAACTTCTTTGTGTTTTAATTTGCTTATGTGTTAAAAGGGGAGAACAGTACCTGCCTCCTGAGGTTTTGTGGGAATTAATATGTGTAAAATACTTCAACAGTGCCCAGTCCCTAGTAAGAGATACACAGGCACTTATAATTGCTCTGAGTTGTGGTAGTGGTATTGAGGGAAATAATAGGGCCAGAAATCAAGAATTAAGGAGGCGCTCTTAACTGGGCTTCTTGTCTCCCCGTTTTTGTGGTTTACATCCCTGCGGTGCTCCGTGGCAGATGCATATGACCTGAATTTTCTGTGTACTACCCCGGAATGCTGGAGGCATCCTCTGTTGTTTCATGCCCCTTACCAAATTCTGGCTAATCGTGTCTGCTTCAACCAAGAGCACGTAATGTGGCTTATTATTATTATATTCGCACGCAGTTTAAGAAGGTTAGTCATGTTATTAACCATAATTATTTTTGTGATCTAATTATGCATTTATATGGCATTTTGTATTTCCATAATGCCTTACAACCACTAATTGTATGAGGAGGTCTTACTTAGAGTTGTGTGTATTTGATGATGTCTATCTTTGTATACTTATTATAAACAATAAAGTATATGTTTTGCTCTAGATTAATATCAATATTTAGGGTGGTGATTCATCTACCTGCTCTCTAGGTTTCAAGACATACAAGTTGGACTAGAATTGTAACTGAGTAGATATCCTATTTCTGATTGTCATCCTAGAATGCCTGCTGTGACACTGACATCATCAATTCACCTAATACATGGGCACAGTTGGACCTGCCCCCAAAGCCTGTGATTTGAGAAAACACAAGAAAACATTCCCCTAGCCTCCAAAACACTTAGGTGTGGATACCTGAAATTTCGCAGTTAGAACTGAATGTCTTTATCCTTTTGGCTTAAGCCAAATAAGAAACTTAGTCCTTGTTAAAATGAAAATACTCTTAGCAGATATAACACATTAAACTCTGTCATTTATTAGACCTTATGGGGAATACATTTGTTAAATCCTTTTCTAAAATGAAGTTTAATCAGTGAAGGCACAGAAAAACCTCGAAAATTTGGACCCAGTTGGGATGGAGTTGAGAAAGAGATAAAAATAAATTTCTCTTTTTTTTTTTTTTTTAACTTTTTAATAATAGTCATTCTGACTGGTATGAGACGGTATCTCACTGTGGTTTTTATTCGTATTTCTCTAATCGGTGAGATTGAGCTTTTTTTCTTATGCTTGTTGGCCACAGAAGGCTTCTTTTGAAAATTGCATGTTCATGTCCTTTGCGCACTTTTTAATGGGGCTGTTTGTTTCTTTCTTTTCTTTCGTTTTTTTTTTGAGACAGAGTCTCACTCTGTCACCCAGGCTGGAGTTCAGTGGTGTGATCTCAGCTCACTGCAACCTCGGCATCCTGAGTTAGAGCCATTCTTCTGCCTCAGCCTCCAAGTAGCTGGGACTATATGTGCGTGCCACCAGGCCAGCTAACTTTGATATTTTTAGTAGAGACAGGGCTTCACCATGTTAGGATGGTCTCGATCTCCTGACCCTGTGATGCACCTACCTTGGCCTCCCAAAGTGCTGGGATTATAGGCGTAAGCCACAGTGCTTGGCCCGTTTTTTTCTTATAAATTTGTTTAAGTTCCTTATAGATACTGGGATATTAGACCTTTATGTGCATAGTTTGCAAGTATTTTCTCCCATTCTGTAGGTTGTCTGTTTACTCTGTACAACAAACCCCCATGACGTGAGTTTTACCTGTATAACAAGCCTGCACGTGTATCCCTGACCCTAAAATAAAAGTTTAAAAAAGAAGAAAGGGAAGACTTAGATGATACCTGCTTCCAAAGTTTGACAGACTTCTGGAATTTGTGAGTTGAACACATAAATTGTTTTTTTTGTTGTTGTTGTTTTTTTTTTGTTTTGTTTTGAGACGGAGTTTCACTCTTGTTACCCAGGCTGGAGTGCAATGGCGCGATCTCGGCTCACCGCAACCTCTGCCTCCTGGGTTCAGGCAATTCTCCTGCCTCAGCCTCCTGAGTAGCTGGGATTACAGGCACGTGCCACCATGCCCAGCTAATTTTTTGTAGTTTTAGTAGAGACGGGGTTTCACCATGTTGACCAGGATGGTCTTGATCTCTTGACCTCGTGATCCACCCGCCTTTGCCTCCCAAAGTGCTGGGATTACAGGCTTGAGCCACCGCGCCCGGCCCGAACACATAAATTGTTAGCAACATTTCCTCCTCAAATCCCACTGAAATGACAATAAAGGGATTTTCCAAAGCGTATGCCCAAAAGGATAAATTAGGAGAGGAAAGAACAACAACAGCATTTTCAGAATTAGAAAGTAGCCATAAAATAGGTTAACTCTGACGTGACTGACCTAACAAAACTGAATCCTAAGCCAACAGTGAAAGAAGCCAGGAATCAAAAGTCATCCCTGGAGACTCTGTTCCAGGACCTCCCAAGGGTACTAAAACCTGAGGATGCCCAAGTCCCTAATGTAAAATGGTGTGGTATTTGCATATAACCTAGGCATCAATCTCTAAGATACTTTAAATCATCTTTAGATTTCTATAATACATAATGCAACATAAATGCTATGTAAATAATTGTTATACTTTGTTGTTTAGGGAATAATGACAAGAAAAAATCCATACATGTTCAGTACAGATACAATTTTTTCCCCAAATATTTTCAAAAATGTTGAAAGAGGTTGCCTTTGTGGAACAGGAAATTGGGAGTTTGGGAGGAAGGACAGAAGCTTTCATAACACACCTTGTAAAACCTCTTAACTCTGTGCTGGTGTAACACAAAGTTTGTTTGGCAAGGGGAGAAACTAGGAGCAGGAAACCATTTTTGATGCTTTTGTATAAGTTCAGACAAGGTAATGTAAGGGTTCATCCATGTAGGAATAGGAAGGAGATGGTAGATGTAGTAGATGAGATCTGATCAACCAAATTTTCCAAGTGATAAAAGGAGTGAGTTGGTGAAGTAAAAGATGTTGCTGGAGTTTCTAGCTTGGAAGAAGTTAGTTGAAGATGCCATTAATTGAAATAGGGACCATGGAGATGTAGAAAGATGTTGAGATGGATTTTTTAATGTGTTAGAATTTGATTATCTACTCTACAATTACATCTATATGTAGTATGGGGTGATGAGTTTGAATTAGGAAGCAAAGAGAGATCTGCTTCAGTAATAAAGATTGGAGGATCATCTCTTAAACATGGTAATGGAGATATAAGAAAAAATGAGGTAGTTGAGTGAGATGGTGTGGTTAAAGGAAAAAGACAGAATGGATGCAAACTTGAGGACCCCTTGCATTTAAAGAGTAGGAAATGGAAGAAGAGCTCACTTAGAAACAGCAGCCAGAGGTAGGAAAAGAAGTTCAGGCTGGGCCCAGTGGCTCACGCCTGTAATCCCAGCACTTTGGGAGGCTGAGGCAGGCGGATCACTTGAGGTTGGTAGTTCGAGACCAGCCTGACCAACATGGAGAAACCACATCTCTAATAAAAATACAAAATTAGCCGGGTGTGGTGGCAGATGCCTGTAATCCCAGCTACTCAGGAGGTTGAGGCAGGAGACTCACTTGAACCTGGGAGCGGAGGTTGCGGTGAGCCGAGATCATGCCACTGCACTCCATCCTGGGCAGCACGAGCGAAACTCCGTCTCAAAAAAAAAAAAAAAAAAAAAAGAAAAGAAAAGATGTTCAGGGAGAAGTGAGTTTCAAAAATTGAGAGACTGCTTCAACGTGTGATGGTAAATTAGCTCAGTTCTGCATTTGCCACAGAAACAAAAGGGAAGCTGATGGATCTCAGACCTGTCATAAAAATTGTGAAAACCCTGGTATGTCCAGTGCCATATTTTCTTGGTGCATTCTGATTGCAGCTGCAGTGGGTAGTTCTGTGCATGTTCAGACCCACCTCATGGTGACAGTGTCTCACCTCAATCCCATGCTCCCTTTGTAGAATTTTGCCACTGGAAATTTTCTGTGTAGACAAGCCTGTTCTTTCCAAAAGCACAACGAGGAAGAGTTAGCACTGTAGGGGCAATCCTTAGCCAACAGGGGATGGAATCTGATGGGTAAATACTGCAGTGCCCTGTCGTTCTGGTGGATAATGTGGAAAGCAATTCTAGGAAGTGTTCTGAACACTCTTCAGGAGGTCCTGTGGGATCAAGTACCCAGTGACCACAGTGGTGACTTCTAATGCTTTTCCTCCTTCCCTCTCATTCTCCTTACTTCCTCACTCTGTGATCTGAAGTGAACTACCTACAGTAGTTCACCTAAGTCTTTGTCTTAGACTCCACTTTTGAGAAAACCCTCTATGTATGGCTGTTGGAGTAGGAGAAACTTAGAGGGAAAAGCTAAGTGCCACAGATTGGATATAGGCTAAGGCAGATAACACCTGCACTGTCCCCTGCCTCCACCACAGGCTAGGAATTTACAATAAAATAAGCATCTCCTGGAAATGAGCAGTGCTGCATGTCAGAAAAATCCCAAATAACAGTGGCTTAAGGAAGTTTCTATTTCAAGTAAAAGAAGTTTGCCTTGTAAGTAGTCATGACTATAGCATGATGAATCCATGAGGTCATCATGGAGCCACAGTCTTAGCTTTCTTCACCACGGTCCAGTACTGTCATACTCAGGATCACTTCATGGTTCAATAAAGGTGCTGGAGCTCTAGTTAGCAATTTTAGGGCAGTCACAGGAGGAAGGAGAGGAAAGAGGAATTACCTCGTTCCTTTGAACAAATCCATTCTGAAAGTTCAACACTTCTGCTTACATTTCATTGGTCAGAACTTATGTAATCATACATCATGTTTAAAAACGAAAGCTGAGAAATGAAATGTTTAATTCTATGTAACCACCAGAAAAATTAAAAATACAAAGTATAATTTTCAAGTTTATTACAAAATCTTTTGCTCAATTCAATGGACTGTAATAAGAAGATAAAAAAGATACTAAAAGAAAAGAAGCCTAAGGCTAGATGTGGTGGCTCACACCTGTAATTCCAGCACTTTGGGAGGCCGAGGCAGCAGGATCACTTGAGCCCAGGAGTTCAAGACCAGCATGGGAAACATAGTGAGACCCCATCTCTATTTTTTTTAAAAAAGAAGCCTGAAAAATAAACACAGAATAGGTCTTTCTGTTATAATAAATGCAAACGAGTTTAACTCACCAATTAAAAGGCAGAGATACATACACTGGATTTTTTTAAATAAAATGATATTTTCTAGAAGAGACACATTTAAAAGAGAAGAGAAAGGCTGAAATCAATAAATCAAAAAAGATATACCACAGAAATATAATCAAAGAAAAACCACAATAGGCTGGGCGTGGTGGCTCACACCTATAATCCAAGCACTTTGGAGGCCAAGGTGGGTGGATCACCTGAGGTCGGGAGTTCAAGACCAGCCTGACCAGCATGGTGAAATCTCGTCTTAAAAAAAAAAAAAAGAAAAACCAGAATAACAATTACATCAGACAAAATAGAGTCGAAGATGCAAAACATCACAAGTGATAAAGACAGATATAGCCTACTAGTAAAATAATAATAGATCAAGAAGATGTAACATTTATGGTCATAAACATGCTTACTAATATAAATGCTAAATTTATAAAGCAATAACTGACAGAACTGCGAGAGGAATAGATGAGTAAACTATTATATTTGAAGATTTTAATTCACCCCTCATATAATCAGACAGATCAAACTCAGAAAATAAGCAAAGATGTAGGTTATTTGAATAACACGAGTAATAAGCTCAAAGTAGATGTTATGGAGAAATTTATACACATCAAAGTAATCACATTTTCAAGCATATGTGGAACCTTTACAAAGTTTGATTATGTGTC